TAAGACCTTTCTAAGGGTTCTTCTGTAAGACGATTTTCTGCGATTTCGCTTTAACGAGTCCACCTGGTCGCCCTCTGTTAGAAGGACCTCTGTTCTTCTACTGGTCTTCAATTATAAGGAGACTTCCTGGTCTTAAAAAATAATACAAATACATCTTTTTCTTAAGAAGTCCTTACGATATTTTTCTGTTTTTTATTAAGAGGACTCTTTGGTTGTCTTCTGTACGGTGCCCTTGTGTTCTTCTTCTACTAAGCAAACTTTCTGTCCTTCTTCTGTAAGAATACCTTCTTTTCCTCTAAAATAACACATTCTGATCTAATCTGTTCTTTTGATAAGGTGCTCTTCTTGTCACATATAAGCAGAGATTCCGATCGTCTACAAGAATATTTTCTATTTATGTAATATGGTGAAATTCTTCTATAATATGAACTTCTTGTCTTCTTTAAAAGAGCCTTCTGACATTCTGTAAGAAAATTTTCTCTAAGAATAACTTCTTTGAAAATCGGAAGGTACTTTGGTAAGAAGACTTTGTGAACACGTGGACAAATACAGTGGTTGTCAAAACATATGCAACTGAAAATGAATATGTGGAAATATTCTAATGTTTATTTGAATTTTAAAAATAGGTTAACTTGGTATCTTTCAATGCTTTAGGTTCAGTTGAAACTGTACAGTATTTTTCGGTTAATTGACCCTACGGTTAATTGGTTTCCCCGCTTAATTGAACCACATGATGGGACAAAAAAATATTGCATACGAAAACACATGTAAATTTCCTCGGATAATTAAACCCTGTTAATTGATTTTCCCGTTTAATTGGTTCAAAATGCATGTCATCTAATATAAATTTCCCCTTATTTTTCACCAGTTAATTGCATTTGTATTGAAAAATAATCTGGCATTTTTATAGACCCATGGTTACATTTTAGAATATGCATAGAATCACTTTCTGAGTCGATTTATGCATGCCCGTCCGTCTATAAACAAAGTGTAGGTAGCATTTATAATCCGATTTCGATTTCCAATTTCGTGAAGATCGGTTCAGATTTCAATATAGCTTCCATATATATTTTCGTCCGACCTTAATATTTTTCGATTTGCACGAAATTTTGCATAGCGTACTGAATTAAGTCTAGAATGATTTGTGCTAGTTTTGTAAAAATCGGTTCAGAACTAGATATAGCTCCTTTATACATGTATTTTCTTCCGTTTTTATTTAAGTTGTGTGCGAAAGTCCCAAAGCTTGTCCAATTTTCACACAATTTTGTACTATGTACTGAAGTTAATATAAATTAATCTCTTATAAGTTTCGTTGAAATCGGTTCATATTTAGATATAGCTCCCACATATATTTTCGTTGGATTTTAGGTAAATGGTGCACCAAACTTCCAATTTGAAATTTAGCATAGGTTGTAAAAAGCCATATGGATGGATTGATGTTAGTCGGTTCACATAAATATAGATAGATAAAGATCACATATTTAATATCGTTCAAGTTCATGTCAATGTTCCTCGAAGAACGACGTCTATTAGGATACATATGTGGAATACACCAAAATGGTGAAGGGTATCATATAGTCGGCCCAGTCCTTACTGGCTTTACATACATATTTGACATCATTTATGAAAAATTCTATGGTACATCTCTACTAATTGAAAACATATGTTTATTTCTATGGAAAAGCCGCGAGAAATCATATTTGTTAAATTTGTATTTAACAATAACATTAGAAATTAATTTCGCCGAATTATGCGTGATTTCTGTAATTGAACAAACAGTTCAATTAAGCGGGTATCGGATAATTGGTTTCTCGGTTAATTGAACGAAAAATTGTGCAAATTTTGATGTGCAATTAACCGAAAAATACTGTAATTGTAAATTTTCCCAGAAATGTTTGCTATTTTGCTGTAAAATATATTGACAAAATGGATAACTCGATTTTAGCTGGGCCAAAACATATGCAAGTCATATGCAACTGATCAGGAATACATATACTCTATACTCATAAAATGAGAAATTTTAATATATCCTCCATCATATGGCGAAGGATATAAAATGTTACCTATGATTTCATTGTAGAGAGACTTCCATAATTAATGGTTCTCCCATATCTCATAGAATAATTTCCATATATATTTTTATTATATATTCCAATTGGTCTATTATACGCTCATCAACCTATTGACAATATCAGTTTAGTTACTCTTCTTAGTTGGAACGAACACCCACACACTCTCTCCCTCTCTATATTTCTCTCAGCATTTGATGGAAAGGTGCAAATAATCAAATCACAATACAGGTGAGTGTCATAACGTACACTCAATATTTCATTGTTTATCATCTGTCCATGTGTGTGCATGTATTTGTTAGCCAGACATATTTGATATGTGTGTGTACATTTTAAACACCTGCTCTTTGTTTGTTTACTTACGTGGCTGATTCTCTGAAATGGTTGTCATTCGTTCACAATGACAAGTGTATGTATGAATGTTAACGGTTGTTGTTATCATTTGTAAGAATTTTTTGTTTTTATTTAAACATTTTTATAATACCACCACGGTGGCATGGCTATGGAGTTGTGATAAGGCAATGTGAAGCAAAACTAGAATGTATAAAAAAAATTAAAATTAAGGCCGAGCAAAAAGTCTGTTTTGTTATGACAAATTTGAAAAGTGAAGCTTTAGTTTTTATTTTCCTGCAATTCTCGTTTCGTCATTCGTCCCTATTGTTCTGGATCCTGTTAATAATGTTTTGTGTTAATGTATGTGAGCAATGTTCTAATCTACGTGTTTGTGTGTGGTAGGCAATCCTCTTAGGTGCTACTAATTCCTTCCAAAGAATAATGCAGCTATTCTGGTTATGTACGGCTTTGTGTATCTAAATAATTCTCTGGTAATTTATGAAGTATGTACTGTTGTTTAAGATCAATGTGATAGGACTCCCAGAATTTGAATCAATGAACTTCAGTATTTGCCTTTGTAAAAATTGTCCAAAGTGTATTTGTGTATATGTGCTGTGAGTTAATGTAATGAACCCCCTATGTTCTGGATTAACCTCTATTTCAATTGTAATGACAATAATTAGTTATGCTGAGGAACTCTGCCTTGGTTTAAAAGTTCATATGGCTTCGTCGGTTTAGAACAGCAGTAGTCTGATGTCTACTATATTTTATGTAAATTTGTTACTATGTACACATGTGCGTACGTGTGTTTGTTCTGCTTGCATACTTGTTTGTATTTCAGATATGGCATTACTGTCACCCATTATGATACGTTTTACAGAGTATAGGTGAATATATATGAGTGTATGCGTATTATAAAACATGAGTCATAGGGGGTGGTGGGAGAGGTGTTTCTGTCAATTGAGGGGAAAACGCACACACACACACACACACATACATAGCTGCTATGTTTATGAGGTTACTTACATTCTTGTGTTGTTGTGAATAGTGGCTATGGAAACCATAGTAACAGAATTGGGTTATGTAGGAGGACGCATAAAAGAGAACAAAAAAGAAAAAAAAAACATGTCTAATATGTGGTATATACAGTGTCACCCACTCACATATCACACCCTTGAAGTTTGGTTAAACCTAGATATGTTGGGAATATTATCGGATATATATCCATGATAATTTTCACTATTTACGTTAAAATTTCTCTATTTCTGCAATTCATAAGTGCTTTACTGAAAATCTTAGATATATGAAATCCTTCATGTGCGGATCACTTTTGATTTCTAGCATACATTTTATAGGTTTTCTTGACATGTAAGACACATGAATGATTCCATTGAAACTGACATAACTCTGGCCAACTGAAGAGCCAGTAAAAACATAAATGAAATTTATGTTGTTGTTTCAAACCCAATGTGTGCATTCGTAATGTCGAAATGGCGCCCAAAAAATATTGACAGTCTTTATTATTTTCTTCAATTTCCATTGCAGTAGAATATATTACTTGAATGGTCTTTGAATATATGTTATAACGCCCTGCCAGCCTGAGAGTAACAAGGCACGACATTGGATCACTGATTTCGGTTAGTTCTTGAATTAAAATAGGCTATTTTCTAATATGTACCTTGAGCTCGTAGCTGCACAACAATTTAGTGATAAAATGGCGTCCAACAAATATTGATACGATTGAAAATCCTCTTCAAATGTTGTTGTCGAATTAAGGACATAGTCGATTAACTGACTGGTCCATGAGCGTATTTTATAACGTATTGTGAGGCAGAGGGTAACGAGGTACGACACCAAACCCATGACATTGGCTTTGGAACCCAGAATTATCCATGTACCATCTGTCAGACTTTGGGAATTACCGGGCTTATCAGAGGATGTTCGTTTGGCGGATGTGTGGGAAATGTTTCATGCAGGTTATCATAATCCTGATCATGTTCGGCCATATATTTCAATTGTTGCAAATATTCTTGATCGGATCTCAGCAATACCTGACCGGCAAGTTTATATAATTTCGGTCGATCGACAGTCGGTTCAGCGAGGGAGTCAATTAAACCCTTACCTTATAGGAAGGGCATTTATATAGTATAAATATAGATACTAATTGAGAAAACTTCCCAAAAGTTTAAAATATCTTCCACAGGTCTTCTGTAGATAAATTTTATTGATAGACTAACTTATGTAGGCCCTATATGCCTCTTTGACCTATAGTTAGGAGACCTTCTTTAGTTCCTTAGAGCTTTTATAAACGGAAGACTTTATAGATATTGTATTCCTAGGAAATCTTTTATATGTCCTCTTTTTTCTTGTATAGTAAATATATATTATTAGATCTTCTATATATAGTACAACTTGTATATAACCTTTAGTCTTTCTGTGGAGTCTTCTGTATATAAAATACCATTCGTTGTTGTTTTTATGAAAAGAACACCTTATTTAACTGTACAGAACCCCTATTATATTCTATATCAAATGATCTTTCTTGAGATCTTTTTTTCTAATTGTCATACTCTTCTTTCCTCCTGCCCCACCACACAGCTTGAATTACAACGTCCCAAAAGTGGTGTGTATATCAATGAAAGTGAGCCACCAAATTTTTATCCCACCGATGGCATACCCTTTAGTACCTATAATCCCCGGGTGCTACAACAACAATTTGATAATCAACAGCTAAAGAAAATTGACATAATAACGGGTAGAACGTCAAAGGATTTGTGGACTTGGAATTTGGGTTTGCAGCAGAGGGAAAGTGATTTGGATCGTCGTTTTATAGATGCTGCGGTGCATAAATTTGGTAAAAAATTTTGAATTCGGCAATTGAAACATAAAACAAAACATTGAAATAAAAATGTAATCCACAGATTGCAATAATGCGGAACTTATGGTTTATAAAATACCCAATGATTTGGAAAAGACATTTAGGGCCCAGGTAGTTTTTGGTTCCCGGGCTCTCACATTGGAAACACTAATAAAAAAGAAGGGGTAAGTAAGTGTTTGAGTTTAAAATATTTCAACACATGTTTAAAAGTACCAAGTCCTGATAACCAAGATTTAAATTTGATACAAAATCTTTATCTGATCATTCTTTTGATTCAAGATCATATAACCGACCCAAAGAAATGGCCTGCCTTTTTGTAGCCTTCGTAGAAAGTTTTCGTTTAAATGCTGACTTTTGGACTATGGAAACGTTGGATAACATCTTGAAAATGGCTGACAAACTGATTGCCAAAAGCCATAAAATGAATTATAAAAGCCCCGGTGGCGATTACGATATTATACCCCAAATACAAGAGAGGCAAGCAGAGCTGGACTTGAAACTGCATTTCAAGGGTGCCCTGAGATGTGAACCCAACATTTATAAGGCAATGAGTTTGTATTTCAACAAATACAATGCCTGTGTCCTTTGTTCCGCCCACCTATATTTGTTGATATGGAAAAGATGTAAAAATTCCTATTACATTTTCGATCCCAATGGGCGGGCAGAGAATTGTGAGCGGGATTTTGAGAACGGCCGATGTTCACTGATTTCAACTAATTTCGTCGAACATTTGGTCCATTTGGTGGTAAACATTAGCCAGGCTAATATGGACGAGGAATTCCGTTTGTATGAAATCTATTTGAAAAGTTTTGGTAAGATCCCAGAACCCTTGGCCAAGAAACCCCAACCGAAGACGTTGCACAAACTGTGGATTGTGGTGAATGAAAGCTTTGCCCTAATACCGGGTTGTAATAATGGCCTATTTCAACCGAATTCAGATTTAATACCAAATCCATCCATGTTGATCTCGGTCATGGCCATATTGTATGCATTGATCGAAAGGCCAATGGAATGGCAGTCGGATACAGTGGATGAACTAATACGCCTTGGAACGGCCTATTATAAAAGTCTGAGACGCAAGCTGAAATTGAAAGATAATCAGCAGATAAATGTCAACGATCTGCCAGATAAATATGTTTTGGGCACCTTTAAGGCCTCATTGAAAAAGGCCGCTTTCTTCTATACGGGTACCGTTAACGAGTCGTGTAAAAAGTTCATGGATTCTTTGCTGGCGTTTGGCCTGAAAGGTTTGTTCGATGCCAAATGGGAGGCAGCTTTAATACAAATCGATAATTCGGTGGTGTCCACTTGGAGGGATGGTGAGTTGTTCTACGTCTATGATCCATTTCGCCGGGGAAAGGTGGGACAAGTATTGGATCCTGAAGATTATATGTCCAAAGGTTATGCCGTCCTGCAGATGCATTCGAATTTTGAATCTCTTTTGAAAATACTACACGAAAAGGCATTGCAAATGCGCCGAGGTGGAAAATTGTTTTTGCATGCCATCAATGTGGGCTGCATCAAGCCCATCATGGATGGGAAAACAAGGAAGTTGAGGTATCCCAAATTAAAATTGACACCTGAGACATATGTGATTGAAAATCTAAAAGATGACTCCGCGGAAGGTGGTGCTGCAGGAGATCAGCCGGATGATAATAATGCGGCAGAAGATGGTGACAAGAAAGCCAAAAAATCAAAGAAGACCAAAAAAGATAAGAAGGATAAAAAGAAATTGGAAAGGGTTTGCAGCATTGAATCCCTAAAGGAACATGAACGAATACCTCTCTTAGAGGATTCTGAAATCATTGAGCATTTGGCGGAGGCAATAGTTTGCGAAATAATTGATTCCCTTCCAGAATCGGCTGTCGATAGACCGAAATTGTATAAACCTGCCGGTCAGGTATTGCTGAGATCCGATCAAGAATATCTGCAACAATTGAAATATATGGTCCAACACGATCAGGATTATGATAATGTACATGAAGCATTCCCCACACATCCGCCAAACGAACCGCCTATGATAAGCCTAGAAGAAGAATTAGCAAGTCCCAGTAATTTCCAAAGTTTGTCAGATGGTACGTGGATAATTCTGGGTTCCCAAAAACAGCCACGTTTAGATGAGGAACAAACCAAGGTCAAGGGTTTGTTGTCGTGCCTCGTTACTTTCAGCCTCACAGGCCGTTATAAAATATCCTCATGGACCAGCCAGCTAATCGATTATGCCCTTAATTCCACAACAACATTTGAAGAGGATTTCCAATCCTATCAATATTTGTTGGGCGCCATTTTATCGTCAAGAATACCCTCGTTGTGTTTGGGCCATCGCAGTTACGAGCTCAAAGTACAGAGAATCATAAAATCAGATTTGAAGAAACCCTTAAGACATGTCCTGCTCGATTGTCTGATTGACTACAATCGGATTTTGGTTATATGCCAGCAATTCAGTTGTGTCCTTGTCAAGCGTTACAATTTCCTTTATATGTTTATTGGTTATCCAGTTACCCCGGTGGGGTATCGTCAATTTAAGAAGGCCCCAGGATGTTTACTTAGATCCGTTGAATTGGACTCGTTAATAAAGCGTATTGAATTCGGTTGCAATCCTCAAGGATGTGAAATTACCAATTACGTGGTGATACCATTTAAGGTATTCGATATTACCGATGAGGAAATTGGTCGCTATAGGCCATGGCCGAGAAATGTGGAGGAACGCATGTATCAAGCCAGTCTGAATGAACAGCAAAAACGTGATGCCAGTAAGAAATTCAAATTAGAATTTTTGAACAATGAATTACTGGCTGAAAGGGAGCGGCTAGAAGAATTTCAAATGGCCAAGGCGAGAGCGAAGCCAAGAAAAACGAAATGGCCTCGGAATATAGAGACCTCTTCCGAAATGGAAGCAGATGAAGAAGATGATCACACCGTGGTTGCAGATAATGAATATGAAGATGACAACGTTTCGTTGCCAACTAAACATAAATTCGGCTCCCACCTGGCCGAGTTGAAGGAGCCATCACCACCTCAACCTCTGCTCTATGGTTATCATTTACGCCACCAGGACTATCTCTTTAAGATCCAAGGCAGTAAATTCTTAGAAGGTCGTGATGAATGTCTTATGGATGAAATTAAACCCTGCTTCTTTGCCAGTACCCTTGCAATCCTATATGCTATACTCAAACCCCACAATCAATGGACCAGCCAGAGGATAGATCAAGTTATTGATTCCACCCTTATACTTTGCACGGCCATTGACGATTTTTCCAATTCATCGGAAAGAATTGTTAAAAATATCAGTGCCGATGATTACACCTTCGATATATGGATAAAGGTTTTTCAACCTTTGGGTCTTATAGGAGACCTGGGCCAACAAATTGAAAGGGCAAACAAGTTGAGAAAATATTTATTGCTGCAAACGTCAAATTGCACGTACGCCATTTGTAAGGACACCATTTGTAAGGACACCTATTATCATTTATTTGATCCGTATCCTTCTATGCATGTTTTGGATAAAATGCAAAATGGTGATGGCGATGAGGTGGAAGAAGATGACGGAGTGCAGAGGAGAAAAATGAGACCGAAAGCTGTTAGGGGTATTAAGCGTTATCGTGAACGTAATGCCGCCTCATGGATTTTATTTGCGGATTTAAAGTCGATGGTGTATTATATGGATCAACGGGCATGCAGTCCATCGTGGAAGGAAAATAAGGAATATTCTTTTTTGGTGAGTTATACTTTACAGATTTACATATATATATATATATATATATTATATAGATTTCTATAGTAAAAGGACCTTCTATATCTTCAATAGCCTTCCTACAGATATAAAAGTATTCATGGCACTTTTATAAGTAGCACTTCTGGCACTTCTTCTGTAGATCTGATAAAGAGTGAATGTCTTCTGAATATAATATTATATAGTTATTTTGAAGGGGGAAGAATATATGGACCTTCTATTGGCCTTCTGGAGCCTTTATGGATATTTTATAAATAGAACAGAGATTGCAGAAGAGCAGCTTCTAAAGGGGACAATTTTATGATATAAGATCTTCTCCCATTTATAATCGAAGAGATCGAAGACCTTTTCCATGTGTAGTATCCCACAGCTTTACGGGTCTTCAAAAATTTTTTCTTTAGTTCTTCTATAGCAAGAAGAACTGCTGAAGATATAAAACCTTCGATGGGTATTTTATAGATAGAGAACCATCTATGGGTCTTCTGTGGATGAAAAACATGTCAAAGTTCTTCTACAATTAGAATGCGTTCGTTATGTAGAAGGTCTAAGGTTTTTTTATGAATCTTTATTCCTTAAGCATGACCTTATAAATTTTCAGATTTTTTTCTTATTTCTAGGTGCTCGATATTATCTCTTATAAGAAATCCCCCCTAACAGCCAATATGCTCCAATTACTTACCGGCGTAACGCCCTGCAACATCCCCGGTGAAGAAGAAACCGCCATATGTGCTCACCATGAAACCCCTGCATGGCTGGAACATTGCCTCCCCATATGGAGTCGTTTAAATCGAAGAAATTCCGCTGGGGTTTACCGTGGCGCAGCTGTTGCGAAATATAAGAAATTCGATATTGAAATTGACAACCGGCTCTGGTCACTGTGGGGTAATTTACATCCTCAAGCCGCCGTGTTCGATAGCAACAATCGTGGTAAACAATATCTGGCCTGTTGTGTAATGGCCCTGTGTGCTACACGCCTTTATAGACTTGTCGATTGGAGTTCTGCACTGGTGGATTCGATTATCATCAATGGCGATCGGTACCATGCGCAAAGTATTGCCGACATACAGATTCGGGACTATGAAATGCGTGTCGAAGATCTGGATATTGTATGTCAAATGGATAATGTAAAATTTGAGGTACACCTTGAGCCGCTGTGCTACGGAAAATTGTATTCACGTCCGAATTGTAATCGCATGAATTTAGCGGAAGCTTTGTTGTATTTCTTTCGATCGCATCATAATTTGGGATTATTACAATGCTCCAAGAAGTGTTTGGCATTTGGTCGTCTAGCAGCCGGTCCGGATGGTGGTTATTTTATGTTCGACTGTCAGAGTCGAGATCATCCATTGTTTGCCAAGGGCCAGGGGGCGGCCTATGTCTTGCGTACAAAATATTTACAAATTTTACTCTACTGCCTCGTCGTCACGCTGAACATTCCCTATTACAATGTCCAATTTATGCTGTACAAAGTTGAAGCGTTACCTGAGAATGCTTCGGTGGAGGAGGAGGATGGTGAGGCTGGTGGTACAAGCTCAAACCAGAATCATTGAGTATCATAATACATGAGTATGTGTGTGTGGAAATTGTGTATTGGAAATAAAATTCACAAATTTGATGATCATTTTGAATAATTTTCAATTGAAGATGCAATGAGGAGTAAAATGTTCACCAAGTGGGATCAAGGTATAACGCTTTAAATCCATGAACATAACAATCACTTTATTATGACAAGATCGATTTTATTTGGGTCACTTGAAAGGGTGCTACTGGAAATGTACAAATTACCTCTTCAGAAAAATGCTACAATATAGGTCTTTGTCACAAGTCACCAAGCTAAATTTTTCAACAGAAGTGTCAGTAATTTAGTCATTGGGCCTCTCAGGGGATAAATGTCCAATCTTGATACCTGTTTGGAAATATATACATATATATGTATGTATGTACGTATGTAATAATTGGTAAAAGAGAAACTTCCAAAAAATCGTTTTAAATTTCATTTTAATAAAAATTAACAGTCGTTTAAAAAAACCTACATACATATCAAACATTTAACAAAAATTATCATAATAACGATTACATACAAACAAACATTTGTATGTGAATAACAACTAACAAAACGTGAACATAACATCGCTTCCAGTTTTTCTCTTTAAATTGAACGTCAATTTAATGACGATAACGGAAACGTCTCAAATTATCTTCGCCGGTTTTGTAATGATAACCATCTTCACGCAAAACATGGCCCGGCTCAACGGGGGCAACAGGTTGCATTTGTGGTGGCTGATGACTGTCGATGTCGGCATCGTCGTTTGGTTCCAATGCGAGCATATTTTGCTCTTCCATTTGCGAAATGGCATCAATCATATCGGACATTTGTTCCTCACGGTAGGCTTGTTGTTCCAGTTGTTGGCGCAAAAGTTGTTCTTGGTATTGCTGATAGGTGGGCTGGGGTTGGGGTTCAGGTGGTGGCAACATTACATCCATGGGTGGAAGATATTGTTTTTCTGGGACAGTGGCAGTGTTTTCATCGGCAGCTGCGGGTAGATAATGATTTTCTGGTACTTCAGGTGGCAAGTATTGATTTTCGGTGGCGGCTACGGGAGGAAGATATTGTTTTTCGGGTTCGGCTGTGGGTGGCAGATATTGTGTTTCGGGTAATTCGGGTGGAAGGAAGTGAGTTTCGGGCTTTGCCGGTGGTAGATATTCGTTGGCAAGCATTTGTGCGGGAGGAAGATATTGTTTCTCTAGCGGTGCGGGTGGAAGGTATTGCTTTTCGGGCATTTCCGATGGTGGCAAATATTGTTTCTCCAACATGGCTGTAACAGGTGGCAGATAGTGATTCTTGGGCATTGCTGTGGGAGGCAAATAATGATTGATTGGCACAGCTGTAGTTTCGCTTGCTACAGTTGTGGTGCTGTCGATATCTTCCTGTTCCGTTGTGGTGGACATGGGCATGGTGCTCATTTGTTCCGTTGTAGTGGTGTCTTCATTCATTTCTGTTGTGGTAGTGGAATCAGGGGTCACTTCTGTAGTTGTGGTGGAAATGATTTCTTCAGTTGTTGTTGTGGGCATTTCGGTGGCAGCAGCTGTGGTGGTCTCGGGGGCCATAGTTGTTTCCACTTCCACGGGTGGCAAATATGTCCGCATGGGCATTTCAAACGGCACCTCTTGTTCCCTAGTTTCCACGCTAGCTGGTGGTGGTTGGAGATTTTCAATTTCTTGTGGTGGTGGTAAATAATGACTTCTTATTTCTGGCATGTCCTCGGTGCGAGCGGGCATTGATTGGATGCCATAGATAGGTTGGCCATCCTTGACAATTTCAATTTGTGTTGGCAATTCAATGACTTCATGTTGTTCGATGGTAGTTTCGACACGTTCATTTGAAGGTCTTTGGTTGCGTTGCTGTGGGTGTTCGTGATGGTGATGATGCTGTTGCTGCTGCTGCTGATGATTTGGTGGCAAATAACGATTTGTCAAATGTGAAACATCAGCTGTGACAACAGCAATAATTGCTAATGATACCAGAAGTGTTTTCTGAAATCAGAAGAGGGCAACAAGCGGGGTGAGTAAATATTGTCTTTGTATAATGGTTAATAGTAGTAGGTCAAGGATACAGGATGAGGAAGTAACGTTATTATTGGGTGTATTTAATGGCCTTGAATTACATTGAAGAAGAGTGTGGAATGTTTCACTTCAATGTGGAATATATGTTAGAAGTTTAAAGGGGTTTAACTTAAATTGTTACTAAAAATTTTACAATTCTAATATGTGGACAAATACCATATAGAAGTGGAGATAATTTCTGATTCGAATTTTTTTTTTACAGGGATATGAAAATATTACATTTTTTATGCGGTCAATACTGGAAAATAATATTAAAATTTTATAATACTGTCCAGTTGTCACGGCAGAGGTACAAAATTTTGGTAGGGCAAATCTGTATGAAAATGACTATGTATTGGTTTGAAATAGTATTGCGAACTCTTTCACATCGGCTTAAATCAACGCCTAGCAAAAGGCAGAAATCATGGCTAAAATCCATACAGCTCAGTCGTGGCGCCCAATGACAAAATGTTTAATCTTCGACTGAAAACAGCATCGCTTTTTCTGATGATAATTGTGATTATGAAAAGGAAAAACTGCGTAGAAGGATGAATGCTCTATATATTGGAAAACCACTCACCATTGATTCTCTCTTTGGCAAAATTGTGTCGCCCGATTTGTAAATATTCATTTCTTTTTTTAATTATTTTTATTACATGTAAGAGGAGTAAAATTAGGTTATAAATCTTCATGATCACACATCATTTTGAAGTTCCAAAAAAAATAAATAAATAATATGTTATTATCGATTATCACACATAACTCAATACTTTCAATTATAACTGGAAATCGGCTTTCATTCAAAACTTTACGTATTCCTATTTTATTTCCACACATTGTTCCTTAATAATCCAAATGTTCTTTAATTGCATCCTCCCTATGTCTAACACTTACCATTTTGTTTTCTTCGACTATAGAATTTACTTCCGCTTTTGATGCTACCACCCGACACTATACAATAGAAGATGGGCTCTTTGTTAATTCGTAGAGTATGTAATAGGAACTGTTGTCAAATAAAGAACAACGGCGACTATTTATACTACAATCAAAAATTGAAATTAAAACTAGTACTTGATGGTGGCTAAGAAGAAGAAGAGGCCTTCAGATCTTTAAGCATCCACCAAATCGACACCAAAGTCAAACTTCCCCCGTTGTTAGGCGACATCGACGACGAAGAATCCCATTGACTCTGGCCGTTTATTTTTTCTATTCAAGTGGACAAGCACCAAATTTAAGCATTCCATTAACACGGCCAACGGCCACAATATCGAACGCAATTTGTCTATGAAGAAGTTCGAACAAAAAATACCACACACAGTAACAGAACAACTTGGCGGAAACAACGCTTAATAAAATAAAATAATAATAAACCAGAACTACAACAACAATCAAAACAAGACCAAATAATAATGGTAAATTAAAAACACACACAAATCACAAATTAGTTTAAGATACTTTATAACTAATTGTTGTCATTTTGTTTTTGTTGTGCTATTGGCAGTAACAGACATCCGATACTTACCATGGTGTGTGTGTGGATGTACATAAATCACCTTATAATGTATTATTAAGTTTTAATACTTAAAATATTTCTATTTTGTTTTTTTTTTTATTTTGATGTTGATTTCAATTTCAATTGTCAAATGATTTGTTGCTGATCTGTTTAGATGTCTATCAGTGATCAGTGTTGAGTGTGTGTGTGTGCGTTCGGGTTTCTTCGTCGATAATTCTCCCACTCCAATTCAATGCTGAATCATTGGCTCCACTGCCCTACTACTCCAACTACTACCTGTTAATTGTTCTTTGATAGCGTAGCATTGTTGCGTGTGTGTCTGTTTGTGTGTCACGCTCGCCACACTTGTCTTGAAGGCATTCATTCATTAAAATATTTCTTTTACAGTGGCACAGTGGGTGAGGTGTTTGTATTTTTTGATTTTATGAAAAACAATATTAAATATTTTATGTTATGTAGATACTTTGAGGACAACTGTTATATATTTTTGGCCTAATATATTTTTTAATTTATGTGAATATTTATTATCAAAAAGAAGTGCGGAATAATTCCTCGTTTTTGGCGACCAAAAATGCGCTGGTTTGAGCCGATATGTGATATAGTCATGGTGCACAATATTCACCTTCTCTTGTATGTTTTTTTTTTTTTTGATTTTCCCGAAGACTTCAGGCAAAAAGTGTCATATGGTAAGTTTGGCCGAAGAAAGTGGAGATTATTTGATTCGAACTTTTCCTTCCATGAACAATTTGGCTCAATTTTTTTTAAATATTTATGTTTGATTGCTGTTTTGTTAAGATCTCCTTTTGATGCATTACATGGTGTAGTCATTCCCTTTGTACATGTCGGAGATTCTATGAAGCCGATTTAGGCATGCGCGTCTTTTAAAATCACGATAGAGATCGCAATATTTAATATAGACATTTGAAATTTTGAACATACATTGCTACTACTCCCAGGAGATTTGGTATTGGAAAATGTATATATTGGTCACGTTTTGGTATAGCTCTCCAAGTTTTTCAAATGAATGTGTGTATTTTGATATATCTTCCTAACAAAAATGGTCAATATTGGTCTACTTTTTAGGGTAGATTCCATATAATGGTACCTCCCAAATCTCGACTTTAGTATGTATTTCGTATATACCCCAAATGTTAGGATTCCAGCTCTATCGTTTCATCCAAAATTTTAATTGTACCAAATTTAGTACGCATTAATATGAATTTCCATGACTTCCCACACAGACCAATCCTACACCCCAACAGTGATCCTAACTGCAAATTTCAAAATATATCACCCAAATCCAAATTTGGTAGCATTTAGTACCATCGGTTTTCCCAAATCAAAATTGTACCAATTTTAGTACGATTTGGTAGTTTTTGTGTACATAAGTAAACAATTTCCAAAACTACCTACATAATCTAATCCTACACTCGG